GTGACTTCTGCACTAGAAACTGAGAGCAGGAGAGCTTGGGTCATTTAACTGCACTTCTGTAAATCGCATCTTCATTTAATAATTGACATTAATTTATTGAAAGAAAAAGTATCTCCTGATCAGTGACCACCTGTTTAAGAAGCAGTATGAGGTCTCTGTCACATGCCCAGCTCGTTTTGAAAGACAAATAAAGGATGTAATACCTAGGACTAAACATATAAAATATGGTATGTCTACTAATCCTTGTTAGGTGTGTTTGGGTATAGGTTAGGAAATCAACTACAGATTCATCCTTTTGTGTAAATACATATCTTGCCATCAGCTGCAGACTGCTATCTGAGATTATGCCTGTACTGCATTGTGTAACCATGCTGCCATTTCCAGGCAAAGCGTCCTGTGAAGAAGTAGGAGGCTCAGGAAGAAGAGGGGCAACCTGGGAGCGGGCATTTGCATTCCCTCTTCTGTACAAGGACTCTTGAAGAAAATCCAGCAACTGGCTGGTCTGTTAATCAGCTGGCATCCCTAAATTGTCACCTGTGTGGGAACAGTGGTGCTCTCCTTCTCTGTTTCACTGCAAAGTCAAACAGGTTAGTGTGATCTGGTGAGAAGTGAATCCAGCAATTGCTACTTCCCAGCTGACAAGTTTGCTTGATTAACCTTGAGGCAAGTGCAAGGGCTGGGAAAGGAGGACAGATGTCACCTGATGTGGTACCTGTGATGCAGAAGTGGTTCAACCAACTTGCCAATTCTGTGGCCAGTTGTAGCTTAGAGTGCGGGAAAACATGTCAACCTGACCTGTCCTTTAGGAGGAACTCAGAATCAACACCACAGCTAATCCCAGCGAATGTCTCATTCTGGTTGATGACGTTCTTCCCCTCCAAATTTCCCCCTCAGTTTCACTCGTGTGGAGTACATGTTCATGCTCTATGATTTCTACTGTGAGACTGTGCATCATTAGGCATTCGCTGTGCTCTCTTTCAGAGATACCTGCCCTTTAGTTGTGGATGAAGAATTCTGCTTGCAGAGGCAGTGGAATGCTCCATGATCTTTGGACCAAAGGTATTATTTAAATAACTGGTGTTGTTTAACTGTTATTAAAAGAGCAGTTTCTGGATGTTAGAGCAAAGTGAACCCAGAATCACAGAGAAAGTCATAGTACTCCTGAAGATGTTAGATAGAATAAAAGCATGTTACTGAAAGAGGGGATAGTGGGAAGGAGCACAATATGCATTCAGAAATCAAAAATCAGGGAGACAGAGGAGGGGGGGGTTAATGTATTAACAGCATAATTAAACAACAAGCCTAGAATTTTTAAATGTAACTTGGAGTAAAAGGTGGTTCTAAAAGAACGAGCAATATAAAAAATTTAGCAATTGATTAAAGCAGTGCCACTTTCTAACTGGAGAAGCACATAGGAAACCCAAGTTGCCTGGGTAATAGTATGTTTTTAAAATGTGTCCGTTGTTGGATATTTATGTGCTTGTATGGCTTACTATTTGGGTGGAGGGCATCCTAGAATTGTCTGACCTTGCCATGTTAAGGGAATTTTCTCAAGTGTGATTTCATTTGATAACACTTGTTCAAATCAGCCTGTGTTTACAACATGAGAGAAGGCTGGTACATGCATTTTTAGCAGAATTTCATTTAGGAGTCTCTGAGTTAGCTTTCAGATCAGCAGTGGAAAGTCTTAGTCACAGATGTCCTGTTTCCAGGAGGCTCACAGCACTACTCATGGAGCTGCTCAGTGTTGCACAGGGTGGAAATTTTAGAAAAATTCCCTGCACTAGAAAAGTCAAAAGAGTAGGTTACGAGTTCAGCAGCCAGTTTTGTTTTGAGTTCATCGTGAAACATGGGGGAGGAGTCTTCCCATAGAAGACACATACCTGATGTAAGAAAATAATTACATGTAAGAATGGAACATTTTGAAAGGAACTCAAGGGCAGTGAAGGAACTTAGGAGTGGAAGAGCACAGATTTGACAGTGTCTTTCAAAAGATAGTGACTACATCCAAAAATGAAAACAGGAAAAAAAAAAAAGAGAGCAAATGAAAACCCAGGCAAGTATACCGCATACAAAGCTCTTGTTTACTCCAAGACCTTCACACTTCACTGTGCATACTGGGTTTTCACATGCTGGATTGGGAGGAACCAGAGATAGAAAGCACAACCCAATCTCAAAATAAGTCGCACAGGGCTTTCTGGAAATTGCCTTTACTTTTGTAAAGGGAGTGAAGTTGCCTCTTTTTCCCGAACATCAATCTTGGAGTTCTTCAGGGAAGGAATCCCCCTGTACTCAGCCAAACGGGAACTGCCTCATGACTTTTCTCAAATGGGTTTGGGCCAAACCAAAGCAGTCATGAATAGGGCCAGTAAAGTGCATGTACTTATACCGTTTCTTCTCCTTTCAGTGACTGGACTGCAGAGATGGTAAATAAAGGGTTGAGTGTGGGTACTGACTGCATACTGACATAATTTCAATTAATATACTTCATTTTCCATCTCTGACATCCACACATTGGTTGTACTTGGGAGTCATGGGGACATCTCCGGGAATGGCTGGCAAAGCCTCCAAAGGCAAGAAAGACACACCACACAGTGCTAGCCTTACTTAGCAAGGGAAAATGGTCACCTCCCCATGGACTGACCTCACATAATTCTGGATGTCAGAGATAATTTTTAAGCCCTGTGTCTTTAAACCACTCCCATCTCACCAGTTATCACTGGCATTGTGAAAAAGTGCCACTTCCAGAGGTGGATGCAGCCCGCATGTGAACAGAAAAACTGCATATCTGTACACAAACCCACAATGCTCTGAAGTGGAGCAGAATGCTCATGCACTGGGCCATGGTCATGAGAAACGCAGCTTGGTGTGCACCACTTGCCAGCAGCAAAGCCTATCTTTCCCCTCTTACCTAGTTCCCTTTGACTGCTAAACAATTCTGGGACATAACCAGACTTTTACCAGCCTGCAGATATAAAACAGAATTGAGCACGGAATTTGTATTGAATATGCCAAAGAAATGGCGTACACAGCCAACACAGAGACTGTGTAATGCTCCTTCCTCCCCTCAGTCTTCTGGACACTGGCTCCAAGGATTTGCATTGGCTCCAAGGATTTGCATTTGCTGGTTTAAGGCATCTTGTAAAAAAGGGGAAGAGAAGCTGCCTGCAGCACTGAAGTTTTAGCAGCCCAATTAATGATTCAGCAACTCTCTATAAAGCAGCTCATGTGAGAGAAGCAGCTTGTCACGCTCAGTGGCCTCCCTCTGCAGGGAATGTGGGTGTACACCCCTCTGCAGAGAATGTGGGTGTACACCCCTCTGCAGACTCATGGGATCCTTCTTCATGCAGCCATCCCCAGCAACGCACCTTCTCCAGGAAGACAGCAGCCAGAAAACCATGTAGGATCTTTGAGACTTCTGTCCTCGCAGCTCCAAATCCAACCCATAAAGAAAGGCAAGCAGTGTTATCTAGCATTTTTGCCTGGGTTTTATTTCTCTCTCTCACTTTATTTTCAGTTCCGGTTTTGGTCTTTGCTGCTGTGAGACAGTCATTGCAAAACATGCCTAGCTATAGCACTGCAGTCTCTCCACTTATGTTTCCAGTTGCTAAACTGTCTTAGATTTCTCCCTTTACACACCTGCACTGGATCAAAAAAATAGGGCTGTCCTTTTATTTTTTAACTTGAACGGAAGCAAAAATTCTTATTCACAGGAAGGAAATATGATTGCTGAGAAGGAGCTTCTGTAGTTTTCCATGTAGTTTTCAATTGCACTGGTAATTTCATTTAGACAATAAGTTGCGTGGTTTAATTCACTGGGGCCCAACCTAGGAGGAAAACCCCTTGGTAAAAGTTCACCATGCAGTAGGGTGGCTGGAGCAGGAAGAGAATGACCTCTGTCTACAAAAATGAATTCTGCGCAACCCCTGCCTTCCTCTTCTGCTACGATAGATGGATCACAAAGAAAATCATCTATACTCTCTGAGACATTTGAGCTTTTTTTCTCCTCTTTCCTAAGAAAAGGCAAGATGAACCTGGTCTGGAAAAAGTATCATTCACAGTTCTGTACATTACAGTACACACAGAGAAAACATGTCAGCAGACTGAGGGGAATTCTGTATTAAACAGAAAAAGAGACTCTTGCTCCCAGGGACCCAAGGTACAGGTAAAGACCCAACTGTACCAGCTTAAAATAAAACATGACCAAAAAGGGGAAACCATCAGGAAGCTGTACTACCAGTCAGGACAGCAATCTCACTGTTTTTAAGTAGTATGAGAGCTGAAGAGTTTTTACATCTGCTCCAGCAAAAGAGGATTCTTTGGAGCTGTTTAAAGGAGGAGAGTGAAGGACCTTGGCAAGGGTGGTGTGGAGGGTTCTCCCAAATATACGGAAGAGACACATGAAAAACACAGAGGCACTGCTAAAATGCAAAGCAGCAACCACAAGCCAGTCAGATGCAGGTGCCATTCTCTCACTGGTGCATGGGAATGACATTCGGCTGTTTACCAGGATTATAGGCCGCTTTTACCACATGAACCCAAGCAACCATACAAGTGTTTTGCTTATGAGATGAGTCATAGGGGTTTTGTCTTTTTTCTAAACAGATACGAGTTTTTCTTGAGCATAAATTATGTACTGTTTAGCTTCAACTCTTTAAACCATATAGGATTTCTCTCAGTTATCTTTTACTGTCATGAAGGATAGGTTCCTGTTACAAAACTAAAGGTCACACACTTCATCGCTTCTGGTAGCTGACATCATCACGCCAACTCCCCCACCTCCTCCTTCTGTGTCACCCTCTCCTCCCCCTCTACTTTCAATTCCCCCATCTTCTTCCCCACACTGTCAGGCCAAGCACGCTCCCCATTCCTCTTTCCTCCGCACAATGCGTTTTGGGTTCTCGTCCTGTCCTTTGCACCCCAGGGACTCTGTGTTCCTCCCATGGCATACCCCATCTGTAGTAATCTTGGGCCGCATCACCTTCTCTGTAAACCAGAGGTCTGTCATGGCACAATTATTGTTGCTAAAGGCTGTGAAGCACACAGAAGTCCTTGCACCGGTCCATGGGAAAAGGTGAGATTACCTTTCTCAATAGCCTCTCTCTTGCTAAAACTATCTTGTTTTACCACTTCTTTGGGAGTACTGGAGAACGTACTGGAGTGTTTTCAGTCTCTAAAGTATTTCTTTCGTTCTTCCTTCTTACAGCGTCATGGAGGTCTGCGTATTCTTCCTTTATGCTATGATACTTCTCCCAGGTAAAAGGCACATTTTTAATTGTAAAAACTGGTCTGATTTTTTGTGTCCTGCTATGTGATACTTCCACATCCACCAAGAAGCTCATTCCTTAGCAGTAATCAATCATTTCTGTTGCACAATGAAGGTCATATAGCCTATGTGTCATGTATTTAAACTGTGTGCAAGGACTCTATAAAATATATAGTAAGTACTTCCTCTCTTCAACTTTATATCTTTACATTACACTTATTTTATGTTGCTCCTAAATATTCAATTTAAATCTACCTTTAAAATGTGTGTATATCACCTCTGTATATTATAGCGGAGAGCAGTATTAAACTGAAAACTGACAGTTTGATACGGGACAACTGGAGTTCTAGGCAGCCACGGAGATCATTTTGCAGTCTGGTGCTCGAAGAGCAGTCAAAACTTTGCACCAGGTTAAAGACTGTAAATCTGCTCCTCCTTCTGAACTCAGCAGAGGTGTTTGTACCTTTTGGGATGGAGGACTGCATTTCTCATTCCAAGAAAAGTCAGTCCTCTCGGCCCACTGCCACCCATAATAATGGATACATGCACTGATGAAAGCGGGAGAAAAATCATCTCTTGTATAATACAGTTCATGCTTTCTTTGCATGAAGGCATAATTGTGTTTATTGACTATTTCTGTTAAGAAGATCAACAACAGAACAGTTAAATCTGACATTTAATCTGTCATTAAACTCTAGATTAATTACAGAACACTTAAATCTGACATTTAATTTGTCATTAAACTTTAGATTAATTCTTCAGTGAGACTGAAAGTGTTCACCTGTTTCTGACCTTCTGGTCATAATTCCTTAGGCACCAACATTTACCATACAGTGTGCACTTCACATTTTCTTCAAAACTGCAATGCTTTAAAAAGAAGTTGTGCAACTATCATCTCCTTTGTGGCAGAATCTCGTTACACTCAGGATACAAGAATGGTTTGGAACTTTGGCCTGCAGATAAGTCTTCTAAAATATAGACACTCTTGCAACCTCTGTGTGGTAGGCCTTTCTTGGAAAGTAAAATATAGGAAAAAAAAAAAAGTAATTTTATGACCTGAACTGCACAAGTTGGTTTGAAGAACTAGGTGTCCTGTCATATGCAGTGGGAGAATTTGTGTCTAAATGCTGGTGGTTTTTTTTATTGCTACTATGGTTAAGTGCTGCCTCTGTGAGCACACATACTTGGTGTTCTTTTGTAGCGGATGAAAATCTTAACTTCTTCTCTCTCTTTGTCTAAGGTATTGCTGCCAGTGTGCATCAGGTGAAGTCATTTCTCTATCACACTGCATACCTATCCTGCTATTTTCCAAACTCTCAGAAAACCGACATAAAGGATTTGAGAGTTTTTTGGCAAAAAGGCGCTGACGAAGTGGTGCACGAAGTATACTATGGCCAAGAAAAACACGATAACCTTAGTCCTAAATATATAAATCGCACCAAGATGGATATGGACAAATGGACCTTGCAATTGTTAAATGCAGAAATTGTGGATGAGGGACAGTATGTGTGTATTATACAGCACAGAGATAAAGGATCACCAAAGGTCATACACACATCTGAGTGCTTACTGCACATCATTGGTAAGTAATCTTTTCTTAATTGTCATCTGGTCTGGAGGGTCCAGTTGTTCAGTCCAGAAATGTGTGGTACTGTCCCCAAGTCACTGAAGATGTACCTGCACTGGAGTAGAATTTCTGAAGATAGACAAGAGCATTCTCAATAGAAAATCCCCAGCTCTGAATGAAAAGTACTCAGGTGGAAGCAATGAGAAGTAGAAAATGAGGCAATAATTTGCTCAATATTGTATCATTCCTGATTCCCACTCTGTCATACTTTATAGTGAAAACCATTCTGCCTTCTTCCTCTTGCCTCCTGAAAGTTTTATGGCTTTTAGGACTCTGGAAAATACACTTCTTTATTTGCATCTGATGCACTTCTTCTATTAAAAGTAGCAGTAGTTATCATCACTGGTGGTGAATTACAATTGAAACATAACAAGATTTCTGCAAATACCCAGCTATTTTATGATCATATAAATCACAGGGAAAATAAAGAAAAGAGCAGCTCACATGTGGAGGAGTAGAAATTCATATGTTCAGTTAAGGGAAGACTGAAAATATCTCTGAAGCAAAAATGCATGCATTGATGAGATTCAACCAGATTTCTTCCATGTTATCAGAGGAAAAGGCAGCAAATCTTTTAACAGGGAAATGGAAGTGAAGAAGCAATCTTTTCTAATATTTTTAGTAATTCCTAATATATTTTCCTAATGTTTTTCTATTTTGAACTGTTCTGTTAGTAACTTTTGTCCATATGCCTGTGTTCTCTCTTCCACTATGACAGTGCTAGTCATTAATAACAGCTTCTAACTTCCACTGGTGTTTTCAGGCTTCAGCATACTGCTTCAAAAGAGAACAGGCCATGTGTAACAGCAGCCAAAAATGGAGTACCGCGATGTCTGAGCCTATCTAGCTTTGTGCTACCAGGAATTGTTCCCTTGATCCACAGATAGAAAACCTACATTGTTAATTTTGATTCTCCCAGAATCTACTTGTCAAGTATTTTCAGCAAAGTTTTAGAACTCAGAAACTCGTAATGTGCACTCAGTATCAAGGCCTTCAGTTGAAGAGATGCCATCAACTGTTCGGTTAATTCAAGCAGTTAAATCAGTTACCAGCTTAGCCAGCATCTGAGCAACATGTTACAGAAGTCTCATACTTTAGCACTAAAACTCCTCTGGACCTTTTAAGGTTTAACTCTAGGAAGATTTTAAGCTATATGCTGCTGTGTTCCTTCCAAATGATTCTCTGTTCAATAAGCTCCCAAAAGAAGGAACAGTATAAAATCATATTAAAAAAAAAAATAATTAGAAGAAAAATACAACTGTTGAAATGTACCTGTGCTTACCTACTGTTTCCTGGTTAGAATCTCAGATCATACATGGGTTTTTTTTGTAGTATGGCATGCCACACTTAAAATGGACATAAGAAAGATTCAGTGCTGTACAAGAATGATAGGGCAGTCATACATATGACTGTGACCAAGCTCATTCAGAAATACTGAAGAAATTTCTAATACAGTTTACGTGTGTTATTTATATGTATTACTTTAGGATAATATATAGATAGATATATGTATATGTATTGTGTACAGACAGGATGATTTATATAATAACAAAGAACACAGATCCTTCTCCAGAAAGAAGGGAGGGCTTCACAATGGAAAGCTTTGGCTGTTAAAACAGGCAAACTAGGAACACAGTGACTCGAAATTAACTGGAAATTCTGCTGCTATAGCATGTCTCTAGTGCTTTCTTTGTATGGATCAATAATGGAAGTAGGTGAGACTAGGGAAGCTATTTCAAAATATGCGCTATTCAAAGTGTTGGGAGTGAAACTGATCTCTGAATAGAGACTTCACAGTTTGTGTCCTCATTTTAAAGGGGATGTTGAAAAAACTAAAAGCATGAAGAAAAGCTCTACTAGAGTTATCTGAAGGCTGGAAAAAATACAGTGCGACTGGAGACATTAAAAGATTGCTCTGATTACCTTACAATACAGAAGACTGAGAAAATCTTGGTTTCAGAGCGTGGGAATGTGGGAACCTGAAATACAAATAAAATACTGGATATTAAAAAAAAAGGCTAATTAATTCAGTGAAGATATAAAAATAGTCAGTGGCTGGAAGCAAGTGAGAAGTAAGGCACATTGACGCTTTAGAAAATAGAACAAAACCAGGTAGGGTGATCAAGCCATTGTGAAAAATATTAAGGGCTTGATGGATCCGCTGTCTCATGAGGTATTTAAATTTAAACCCATAGCCTTTTTGGAAGACGTATTGTCTTTAATACAGAAGACTTATTGAAACGTGCTTTTCTGTTAACAATCCAAAGCTTACATATACACAGCCCACACCCTGCATGGAACCAACATCACTTTTCAGTAAATTGAGGTTCCCAAAGCCATAAAACAGAAATGCTTTGATCAGGGTATACTGCACTATTTCCACTTGTTTACTATCAATAAGATTGAAACTCTTAAATCACTTGGATGGTGTGGCAAGTTTCACAGCCATGGATTACATGCCAGTCCTGGCTATAGAGTGCCAAGGAGAGAATAAATACTCCAGACCAGAAGCTAAACTGAGTAGTCAGCTAAGCAAGACAGATCTTGAGGAGGAAGAAGCTTGAGCTCTCCTGAGAGCCAACTTAAGTGAATTTTGGGGTATAAAGAAAGTGGGGCTTTTTCTATTTTGAATTCACAGCCATGGACTCTCTTGGGAATTTAAGTGACTAAGCTAAATCCTACTCCCTGTGGGTTGGCATAGAGCAAATAAAAGCAGTATCATATTTCTTCACCCATCGATATTAAGAATTCACTAGGGCAAGGATTAGAGCCTGGATCCAACACACTGTGTGTGTGTGCAGAAGAGTCAGACCCTCTTAGGTTCATATTATTCTAAGAATCCTTTTCCCCTTCTCCCAATATTTCTCCGTATTGTCTTTAGTCCTATTGGCACTAAAATAATTAAGTATTTTCAATGAAGTCTTGAGTCTGTTCCTTGGTTTTTGTTGTTGTTTTTTAACTTGCTGTATGCCAACGTGCAGTCAGTATTATGTCTACATTCTCTCCTCCTTTTTCATTATAGTCTACTATTTCTAGTACGACCTTTTAACTAAACAAATCCTGGCTGAGAATATTTGGGAGATTATTTAATAGACAGTATTCATTAAAAGCTTCCATTTATCCTTCATATTTTGTTTAAATACTTCTTTCCAATCCTGTTTCACTATTTCTTGCCTGGGAAACTTGACTTTTTAAAGCAACAGGTATGTTTTTCATTGACTGGGTTGAGTATCCAATGACATAAAGTAAAAAAACTTGTACTGTAGTCACTTCCACATAAAAAGCTGAGCTAAGGGAGACCTACTATCATGTTCAGATGAGTGAATTACTTTATATGCTGCAAAATCATTACTCATAATACTGACAGACACCAGGGATATTTCCACCTATGACAGTACTGGACTCTGAACCTACCCCATCTGAAGTCCCTCAGATGATTTCTTTCTCGCATTTCACAGTTAGAATCATAGAATCATAGAATCATAGAATGTTTTGGGTTGGAAGGGACCCCTAGAGGTCATCTAGTCCAACCCCCCTGCAGGAGCAGGGACACCTCTAACTAGATCAGGCTGCTCAGAGCCCCGTCCAACCTGGTCTTGAATGTTTCCAGGTATGGGGCCTCCACCACCTCTCTGGGCAACCTGTTCCAGTGTTTCACCACCCTCATTGTAAAGAACTTCTTCCTTATATCTAGTCTAAACCTACCCTGGTTTAGTTTAAAACCATTACCCCTTGTCTTGTTTGTGGTTTTCCCCTTACCTAATCAGGTCAAGAGTAGGCAGCACTGTGTCACATTCTCACTTCATTCTTAAGCACTGACCTGCATGCAGGACAGGTTTGATTATTCTGAGGTGTCAATGGATCTAAAAGAGATGGGAGAGACAGAGACCCATTGTCTGGCTGATCAGACATCCTTGAAACACCCTGTGGGCAAGAAGCAGCAAGTCTACATGTACACCAAAAACATAACAAACCCATTATTTTCCTGAGAAAACTGTTTAGATTTGATTCTGCCTGAAAATCTTAGGTCATTGGCAGGAACTATCACTAGATGTGGTATGTCTGACTCATGATGCTTTCTCTTTGGTCTATTTCAGCCAACTATAGTCAACCTAAGATAGCACCACTGCGCACTGGGGAACTAAAGCCCAACGACTACTTGAATCTTTCCTGTTCTTCCAGCGGAGGTTATCCAAAGCCCAAGCAGATGACTTGGCTAATTTCACAAGGAAACAAAACATCCAGGTTTATACATCCCATGAATGTCTCACAGGATGCTGTAACAAAGCTGTACAATGTTACTACCATGCTGAATATCACAGTTCCTGCAAACACCCTCATTACTATTACCTGCTTGCTTCACCTTGAGGAGCAGCTGGGGAGCCTTGTCTCAGTGCCACTAGGTGAGTCTCCATTTGCCCATTCTGATTTTTGCATGGGTAGGAGCAGGGCACATTGTAGTCGAACTGATCACAAACAGCAGCATAGTCAAGGTAGGGAATAAACCCAAAGTAGCAGTAGGAGTTGGTTACAAGGGTTGTATGTTTTCTTCCCTGTTCACACAGCCCTTGTAACCAAAAGCCACAGCCACCAAATTCCCTCTCCTTTCCATATGGGAAGTCATCTTACAGCAAGGAGAGGGCACAGAGAAGGAAGGCTACTGCTACACAATCCAGAACACAGCCCTGGTTCATCCCCACCCTAGATGCTGCTGCAGTAGCAACAAAGCAACCTGGATGTCTGCATTAGGCAGCAACCAGTCTCTGGAGGTGGCAGCTATTGAGATTCAGAGAACTGTTGAGGTTGGAGGAGGCATCTGGAGATCATTTAGTTCAACCACTCTGCTCAAAGTAGGGTCAGTAGGTAGCACAGGGCCTTATCCAGGTGAATTTTAAATATCTCCCAGGATAGAGACTCCACAGCCTCTCACAGCAAACTGTTCCAGTGTTTGACCACCCTGACAATAAAAAAGTTTTTTTCTGATGTTTAAGTGCTTGAGCTGCTGTTCTTAATCGTTCCTTAGAGAGCAGCAGAAGGCTAAACAGAAGAGTCCCTCGGACCAGATTTGGCTCACAAACTGCCAAATAGACTGTGCTGAGTTTAAGAGTAAAGGCCATGAAACTTCTACTATTCTTAGAAGCATTCCTGGTGGTTTTCATAGCATTTGGCAGAATGAAATGTGCATTCCAAAATGACTATTTGGGGATTTTTTTTCTCTGAGATTGTGTCTTTTTTCAGACACCTCTTGCAAGAAGAAACTGGGGACCTGAGTTGCATTAAGATTTTACTGCTGGATTATCTCAGGGTTCCACATGACTGACCCTTTCTTTAAACTAAACCTCTATTTTATTTATCTCCTGGGACAGGAAAACATCCTTTGACACCTTTTTGTTCATAAACTATGACACAAGTACCTAAAAATAAAGACAATCCCCACTTTGGTCATTAAATTTGTTTGGCTTGCACATGTCTCCTTTAGCCAATGTTGAAGACGGAGAGTTGTGCTTCAACTGACAGGAACAGGGAGCCTACCAGGGTAGTACAGGCACGCACCTTACTATTGCAGATGTAAAAGAAGCTTGCCACTTATTCTGAAAAAAGTTCCACAGTGCAATTTTCTTCACATAAATTTAGCTAAAGTGTTAAGTCATCTATGCTAGATATGGCAAACTGCCTCTGATGTCCTTACATTCTAGGATTTTTAAATAATGTTAAAATACAATACAGAAGTCTTCTGAGGTTTGCAGAGCTCTAAATGTTGCTTGTGAGTGTTAACGTGGCTATATTAGCCATAGTGCTGCATCCTCCTCTTCCCTATTCAATTCTTCTCTCCTCCCTGGCTTTATGAAAGTAGCCACCTGATAAGCAGTGATGGTGAGTAAGAAACTAGGAACTCCACATAAACAAAAGCTTTGTTTGGCAATAACTGAAGCTCTATCAGTTGCTAACCCGAGCAACCAAAACCTCAAAAGCACAATAACCAGAAACAGAGGAAAACTCCATTCCCTGCTTCTTCCACATCCCTTAAGGCATTTCATTAGGCTTTGACCATCATTTCTAACAGATACCAAGCAGTAATATATCCCATGTTCTTCAGACTTGCACAGTAGCACAGAGTAGCATTAGCACAGAGGCTACCTCTTAGACTCTTGTATTGATTAAGTTGCTGTTCTCTCACATGTTACCCAAATTTCAGAAAGAGTACTTTGCCTCACTGTTGTTGAAGTGGCCACTAAGACCTGGTAGTTTCCCCTCTAATTGGAAATGGAAATAAAACAATGTGGATAGTAATTTATTGACACTATTAAGCACTGTAAAAGCAAAGGATGCTGAGTGTCTCCCCCTAAATTACTAATTCACTTAACTTTGGGATAGATTGTTTAAGCTAATTGTTATCAAATTAAAGCTTTGCTGAGTGTATCTCTTCTGTTTTCTTATTCAGAGATACCAGGGGGAAAAATGGAGCAAGTGAAGATAAATTTCTTTGGCCCACTTATAGCTGTGATTGTAGTGATCACACTTCTTCTGGGTTTTGTGATATTGAAGAAAAACAGAAATAGCTCATCTGCTAACCAGAGTAAGTTATTACTTCTCATTCAGCTCTACTGTCTCTCAAGTCACAGGCTTTGCTCTTTGTAATCATCCCTTTTAGCTACGTTCAGGCTGCTGATAGAAAGTTACATTTCATGCTGGATTTAAGCTAAACTTCCTTTAGTTCTTACAAAAACTTTGCCCATCCAGCAGCAAGTCAATACATCTTCTCCCTCTCTTGTCCTGGGATCCACTTTTCCCTCTTCTTTGTGCTCTGTGAGACTGTCATGGCACCAGCTGACCACTTTTTCCCTGCAGTTTCATCCTTTCTGTTTTTTCGGTAGATTTGGCTCCTAAAATCATTGAACAGTATAAGCCTTTCTTGTTCATCCCCATTTATAAGAAAGGTGGAGCTGGGGGAGAGATGAGATGAGGCTTCCATCAAGTGCAAGTATCTCTGTCATCACAGAGCTAAAGATCAAGGTGTTGCTCCCCCACAGGCTGCCCAACACTGGACTGGAAGAATCATCTTCTACTAGGAACAGAATTCGAACTTTGCACTTCATTTCTCTATTTTGTTCCAAGACTAGGTCTCAGTAGTCCAGTGTTTATTCTGCACTGAAAGGATCTTCATGCTGACATCAAAGCCTATCCTTCCTTGTAGCAACAGGGAAATGCATTCCTCACAGTCAGTCCTCTTTCCTTACACAGCCAAGTGTCCTAAGTCCCACCTCATTCTTTCTCCAAATCCTAAGATAACTGGACATTTACTATCAATTCTTTTTCCAGCTCCTATTTATCACATTTCTGTAAATCACATATTCATTTCTTTTAGGTGTCAGTCTAGCAGTCTAGAAGCTATCCAGCTTGAAGCCAAGGCCATCAGCCAGACTGCTGACTGGGAACCATCTCTGTGCATAGCAAGGCCTGAGGTCCCATATTCGTAGATGCTCTGCCAGAAAGAGAATCGTCCCCAGATACCCTGCAGAACAACATGCAATGTTTCTGTCTGATGGCCAAAATCCACTGTCCAAGTGTTCTCTGCTTTTATTTTTGCTCCAGAATGGTAGAAAATGTGGTGCTCTTCCTGTCTGCAAGACTGTCTTTTTGCTGTATATCTCATCACGCACTGTGACATGTAAAACCCTGAGAGTCAATGAAGAAAGCAGAGCTGCGTGGGTTACAGAAGGGAATGTCTCAGAAATTGAGTGAGGCCACAATCTATGAATCATAACCATTGCTGGAAACATGACTGGGGCAGGCTTCATGAGCCATAAATGCTTTTGGCAGAGCCAATGTGGCTTTCTACCAGTAACTTTCTTGTAAAGCTCCACAGCAGAAAGAGGAACTTCAGGGCACTTCCCCACCTCTGAGAAAAGTCATGCAATAAACTAGAAATCACCTGAAGGAAAAACTTGCTTTAAATGTAATTTCTGGTTAACTTTTTACTACCATCCAAGCTTAATATGACCAAACAGTTAGTACCTCCACGCTTTGTTCATCCGTATTCTGATCGGATGCTGTATTTGTTCAGGTGGATGCAGGGGTAGAAAATGAAAGCATGAGGTATGTGTATAAATCTAAGTATACAAAATTAAGCTAAGGAGGTAACAAAAAATATGCAATATTTTTAATAATAAGTAGGTCATGTTCCAATTCAATTGACTATGTTCTCCCTTTCTTAATTTTGCTTCAAAACTTGAAGATAGAGCAATCCATATGCTGTGGTATGCTCAGCTATAGGAAGTACTTTTACCTTTCAGAAGAGATTCTCCGTTTCACTCAAAGTGTGCCTTTTCTCCAATATTGAATGATCTCTGCACTTTATATTCTTCAACAGCATTGGCATCTTTCAGGAGGAAGAATGCAGCAGAATCAAGACAAAATTCTTCAAAGGTCTTGATTGTGTCGGTAGGTCTGATTTTCAGCAAGAGCAAGGACATTAGCATCCCATTCTCAAGACAAATTTCAGCTCAGAGTTGCAGTCTGGGGACATAAATTCTCTACAGTTTCTGCTAGATACAAATACTTTTTTCTGTTAAATGATGTTGTGAGTTGCTAGATTCCACCTCAATTTTTACTCCATTTTCAAGTGTGTGAGAGAATGTGCATGTCCTTTTGAGTTAGCTAAACCATTTGGGAGTCAGTTTATTAAGCTATTACACTAACATTCAAAATATTTTCATTCCAATTAATATCATTCAAATTTTATTAAAAGTTAAAAGGTTTATTTTTATGTAAAAGTTTATATTTGCAAGCAAACTTATTTAATGACTTATTAAAAATATATGTCTTTTTCTGTGTTGGTGTTTTATTTTCCTTCCATTAAAGCAGTATATTGGGGAATACCCACATTTAGTGTTCTCAGGGAGGCAACACTCCTGTAATTATGGGAAGCAAATCAATAAAAAAGGTATTGCTGCAATGACCAAGAATGGCACAACTCAAGATTTTGTGTGTTCATTCATGGAGCTATGGATGTGTGTGCACAACTCTGTGTATGCATACCTACTTCATTTATTGACCTATACACCTCAAAGATTAGATACTAAATTCCAGTGTGAAAATTTGGCCTTTTGATTCCCTGCTGCAGGTTGTCAAATATATCTCCAGTGCATGACACAGTGTTCTTGAATTCTTGATGAACATTTGGTTCCTTAAATAAAGCATGCGTTAAACTATCAGGTGTACTAAACCAGGTAGATACTCACTAGAATATGCATTGCCTCTCTCACCTTTTTTAACACAAGCTGTAATTCAGTTAATTTTTTCCAATATTTTCCCTTCTCACTCAAGTCATCCACCTCAAATCTTCACTAACAATGAGGTTGTCAGAACAACAGCTAAACCTCACTTTTCTCTGAATCATGATGTGCTGCTTATCTGGTCCATTTTATGCACTGAGGAAAAAAGCCATCACCAACCTTTCAATGTTTGTCCCTAGGAGAGAACAATAACCAGTTCTTCCACAATGGATAAGGGATCTGGAAATCTGTGCTAGGACTCAAGAGTCCTCCTCTAGCACAATCACTTAGCACAAGAAAAAAATTCCTAGCACTTGGAAATTCAAGTTTTTGAAATACGTCTTAGTACCTCTGAGGGGGCTTTTCACCCCAATAAACTGTCTACTATCACTATCAGCAGCTGTAACTAGTGGAAAAAGTCACAGGGTGGGTTTATTTTATCTTTTCACAGCTCCCTCCCATCCTTAACTTGTTCCTAATTAGTGAAGTTGTTTGTTTCCCCTCTCCCCCCCCCCTTGCCATCCCTGTTTAGGCTGCCAACCTCCTTCTATTACCTCATCAAGTTCTCTACCTCCTCTTTTCTTGCTCTTAAAATCAACTCTAATTCCCTCCTGCATCTAAAGACAGTTAAGGGGAAAAAAAGCAGATGAGCTTCAGGGAAAAATCTTAGTTTTTATCTGTCCGTTCAAATGCATTAATCCTCTGCACTAGCAGATGTAATGAGCACAGTAGCAAGGCACAAGAAAAGCATAGCTGATATGTTGGCATTTTTGTCCTCCATACAAATACATTCAGATATCCAGGCAATCTCCTCTCCCACTTTGTAGTTTTTTCCTTGACAGCATGCTTTCGGTCATTTAATGACTGTATAAACGTGGCAAGCAAACAAATGAACATATGCCCACTATGTACCACAGCAGTAACAGCTTCACTTAAACCCACCATTCCTTTATGTTTAGGTGTAACATTATGAATTTCAGGAAATGCTAACAAAGAAATGGAAATGGGGTATTAAACCAGTATCCAGTGACCCAAGGTAAAATCCTGTCATCAGACTTACAGTTGTGATAGATCGCTTCACTGATTAACCGGCATGGAATCACAGAATAGTTGAAGTTGGAATGGACCTAAGGAGATTATCCAGTTCAACACCCCTGCTCAAGATGGATTATCAGGAGCAAGGTGACCACATTCATGTTCAGACAGCATCTGAATACCTCCAAGGAAGGAGACTCCCATGACCTATCTGGGTAACCTTCTACAGTGCTCGGTCACCCTTCACAGTAAAAAAAGATTTCCTCGTGTTCAGGCCTCTGGTCCTGTCACTGGGCACCACTGAAAACATCCTGGCTCAATCTTTTCACACCCTCTCTTCAAGCACTTATACACACTGATGAGACCTCCCTGAAGCTTCTGTTCTCCAGGCTGAACAGTCCCAGCTCACTCAGCCTTTCCTCAGGTAAGAGATGCTCCAGTCCCTTCATTATCTTTGTGGTCATTTGTTGAACTCTCTCCAGTATGTTGATGTCTCTCTTGTACTGGGGACCCCAGAACTGGACACAGGACTCCAGGTGGGGCCTCCTCAGTGTTGTGCAGAGGGGAAGGATCACCTCCCTCAGTGTGCTGGCAATGCTGTCCCTAAATGCAGCCCAGATTCCGTTGGCCGCCTTTGCCACGAGGGCGCACTGCTGCCTCATCTTCAACTTGTCCACTAGGCCATCCATGTCCTTCTCTGCAAAGCTGCTTTCCAGATGGTTTGCCCCAGCCCGTACTGGTACATGGGTTTATTCCTCCTGAGGTGCAGGACTTTGAATTTCCCTTTGTTAAGGTTCCTCTCTGCCCATTTCTCCATTCTCTTGAGATCCCTCTGGATAGCAGCACAACCCTCTGGTGTGCCACTCCTCCCATTTTTTTTATCATCTTTAAACTTGCTGAGGGTACACTCACTCCCATCATCCAGGTCATTAATGAAGAGGAAAGTCAATTTTACTGCAGATTTCTTCATGTCAGCTGGTGCTACTGCAACAAGCAATACCTTCCTGTGGTTAACAGGTTACAGGACAGTGAAATGTTGCAATTCCAGAATATTCCACAGTCACTTCTGAGAGGATTGTCATTAACAAACAATCTCATGACAAACGTCCCTTAGTGGATGTTTTCCTCTCCAAGCTAATTATTTGCTACTGGAGGTTACATTTAACAGTAGAAACACGGCAATTCTATTAAAGAAATCTAATTCTTGTGTGTAGTACCTCTAAGGTTTGGTTTCAAATTCTCTTTTTCCCTCCTTTCCAATCTCAGAAAAAAAGCAAAAAAAAAAAAAATTGGATGTGAAATACTTATCTACACTGGAATGCTGGACTGTCAAAATTCATAAGTCTCTGCTTTCCCATCTTCTGCACTGGGAGGGCCATAATGCTGGGGCAGGGCAGGGTCTAAGGAAGACATTCCGATTTCAGGATGGGCTACCAGAAGGTTCTCAAGAGAAAAAACACAGGCAGGAAAGCTGGTCAAAGAAGAGGAAGAGGGAAGAAATGGATGAGGGCTGAGAAAGCATAAGGAAAAAAAGTGACACACCAGGCTGGCTTGCAACAGGAAGCACACATGCATCAAGTAAGAGCCCAGGCACAAGCTCCTGCTTCACAGACCTCAGGAAATAAAAGGTTTGGCAGCTGTATGCCCACTGCCTCCTGGGGAAGGCTACTCAGCCTGCAGCAGTGCCACTACCAAGGAGAGCTTCTGCACTGAAGTCCTGAAATCCAGAATATTCTCACAGTCCTTGACTTGCCAGATCTCCTTGCATACTTGTGAATTTTATGGCAGATATGCAAAATCAGATTTTCCTGCACTTGGTGTGTGCTTGGTGCTGAGACCTGCATACCTTTTGTCCACTGCTTTTGTTAATACAGCTCTTAAAACAAGAGCTCATGATAATCATAAAAATTGTGCTTAGCCACCCCTTCCTAATAAACAGTGCTTATTGTTTCAGAACTAGGAAAAAATGGAAAGACGATAATAGCTCAAATTGCAATTACATACATACATGCACAGCTGATCAATTATGTATATTGCCCACCCTCTTCTGAAACATACAAGTTAAATCAAAGCATA